GCCCAGGGATTTTGGAAATTGGGGAAGTGGACCTTGATAAGAAGCTGTGTCTTCCCCCATGAATAGTGCGCTGACACTCCGGCCCCCCCCCAAACCATGTCCTGTGGGCTGCAAAACAAACTGCATGGTGATTACAGTCCCCCCCCCCCCCCCCCCCCCCTGTACCAATTGGCCGGAAGATGGCGTTGAAGAGGCTTATGGGAGGAAAATGAACAAATATTACGGGATTTGGCAGCTGAACCATCCCAGAACGGCATGGGAAGACCAACATCTTCCCAGTAGAGGTTTGGTGGGATGCAGGGGATTTGTTGCCACATCACCACCAGTCTGTGAAAAAAGTAGGATGAAGGGTCGGCTCTCTCCAACAGGCCATCAAGTCCATGTCAAGTTGCTGCTGGGAAAAAAGCCCAGTAACTGCTCTGGACAAGCCATAGGGACCCCCAACTGGGCAGGAAGGTAGAGACAGGATGGTATGCGGTAGGGCTTAGCGCCGACTCAGGGGCAGAAGGACGGGGCCCGTGCCATGCAGAGCCCATTAGGGATATGGTTTTTTTTATTTTTAGTTATATTTATAAGAGGCTACTGGCATGGAGGGGGTGTACCTGGGACGCTGGTTAACACCGCTTGAGCCCCCCCCCATTTTGGAGACGTTGTGGGCTTCAATCAAGTGAAACGTCGATGAAGCAGGGTGGCCCACCTGATGACCCCCGACTGACATGCTTGCCCTCCTTTTACTCCACACCGACTGCTACTGTCAAGAGTTTCCTTCTAAAGGGATTGAAACATCTAGTTCTATTAGCTTTACATACTTACTTACTATCGTTCATCATAAATCTATTACTACCATTACTCTGTGTTCTTTCTATGTCCGTACTAACAACTTATTGTGTGTGAGACTCACCTGTTTTGTGGAGAAAACACATAGAAAGACCAGTCTTCATGGTCTTTGCACCAGGCGAGCACTCTCTGGAACAAACTCAAAGATCTCTGCAGGGGTGAATAGTTACATCAGTCACCTTTTTTTATCTAAAGCATGAGCAAAACACTTGAAGAAACACAAAGAAAGAACAACCGGCAACACTGAAGAGGGGTGGTAGCCCAGCAAAATGTTGCTAAGAATAGAGGCAAAAAGAGATAATTAACTTCCATCTTATAGGCCTTTTCCACCAACAGGGAACCGGCTCTGTTCCAGCAGCTAGTTTCGGTGCATTTTGACCAAAAATAAATCAGTTTGGAAGCTGAAAATATTTTTTTTTCTTGGGAACCATAGTGGGCGTGTCATATTCTACACGGCGTTATGCATGGTGCAGCGCCCTCTGTTGATGATGCATCCCATTAGTACGATAGCACCAACGTTCCGAGAATCTTGAACAAAACCGTTTCAAGAACCAGAGCTAATTTGGTGGAAAAGTGGCCTGAACTTACATAGTCCTCACTGGTGTCTGTGGGTGAAGTTTCATCCTCTGGGGCTGAGCAGTCTTGGGTGGGTATTGAGGAACTCTGGAACAACATGAAATAGAGTTGAGTAAAGGTGTGTGTAGGAAGGTGTGTGTATTTGAGCAAAGACCTTGATTCTCGACACTGCAACTGCTACCTCAACAAGGGAGAAGTGAAAAAGTCAATTGCCATTAGACCTCTCTTTGGATTTTGAAACACAATTTGGAATCTTAAGAACTTACATTTGTCTCGTCATCTGTTACTGAAGAGGTGGATTCTTCATTGGAAGACTGCAACAACAGGAAATAGAGTTCAGCATTGGTGTGTAAATCTAGCTAACATCTAGCTTTTGAAGAAAACTAAGTCCTCACCCTATCCTGGAAGCTCTGAACGACAATGCCCACAAGTATGTTGAGGAGAACATATCTTCCAATCATAATTAGTACAACAAAGTAGAGAGTGGCCCACGGTGAGGTAGCAGCCATGGCGTTGCTTTGCACGAGATTCCAGTCCTCCAGAGTCAAAATCTGTATTGACAGATTAAATAGAAGTAAGTCACACACACACAGATTGGGGCACAAACTGCATGATAATGGAAAACAATGATGATGACAAAAATTTGTCAAAAACCAACCTCGAACACAGTCACCATGGACCAGAGTAGGTTGTCAAAGTTTTTCCGGTCTGTGACGATGTCTCCCTTTGGTTCTTCGTAACTGAATTTGTCGCCGAACAGCTGCATGCCCAATACACTGCGAAGGATCAAGACAATTTGGTCATTCATGTACAGTATCCATCTCGTAGCTGATAATCATTATAGAACAGCATTTGGTAGTAGGAAGGATTTGCGTTTGTGTACATGCCTAAAAATCAACATGAAAAAGACCAGCAGCCCACAGAGCACGGCTGCCTTTTGTAGGGTAATCTTCAGCACAAGCAGCTGTTGCTCCAGGTAGGGAAGGAAGTGAACCAGCCTCACAAACCGCAGCAGACGAAACGCACGTATGACGGACACCATGCCATGAGCATGAGCAATTATCTCCCACAAACTGAAAAACAGTTATTGAAGTCAGTGTCATCCACCTCCAACATGACAGAAACAATGCATTTTGCTTGATTCCTAAAATCAAATGTCAATAATGACACATGTAACAGAACAAAGCAATAAGAGGAGGTCAAAAGTTAGACTGTGTGGGATCATGTTACCTGATCATCACAATGGCAAAGTCAAAGACGTTGTTTAGGTCGCAAAAGTATCTCCAGGAGAGAGCCATCAGCTTTAAGACCATCTCCACAACAAACACAATGGTGAAGATGATGTTGCAGATATTTAACATGCTCGTCAACCAATTCGGCTGTAGGAAGACAAGATGGAAATAAATTAGCAAAAGATAAAGAGAGGACAGAGAGGAGGAGGAATATAGATAAAGAGATGGAGAGATGATGGGGAAGATCAAGCAATCAATACAAAATAATTGAAACAAGAAATGTTATCAAACTGCTGTCTTTCTAACCGTCAGCCACAGCCATTTTCCTTCATTTACTTTACACACCTGAAATATATGGGAGCCTAGAGGGGCCAAATAGTTAGCAGAGTGAAACACTTTTCCTCCTCACCTGCTTGTGGTGCTCTATGGCCAAGGTGAAAACACTGAGGAAAACAAAAAACATGATAACTCTGTCGAAGAGTTCGCTTCTCACAATCTTCTTCAGTTTTCTCTGGAATGGGATCCAGGCCGGAATCTGCAACACAGTGGAGTCGGTAAAGTGACCCCTCGTCAGTGATGCGACAATACTGCTTGTTGTGCTACTGCAGAAAGCTATTTAATTGTCTCACCAGTGAGGAATCCTTCCTGCTGCCATCAGGGTGCACCCTGTTATGATGGCTATTGGTAAAATGACAAGACACAATTAACAGTGAACAACTGAAAATACCAGGGAGGTGTTCATTTAAGATAAAATCAAGACATAATGATTTGTTCTGATAGAGTGTGCTTTATTGTTTGCATTTGAATGCATCTCTTCCCACTCTTTTTGAGAAATCATTTTCCAGGATATTTCCAGGCGTTTTTCTGACAATACAGGACAGCACTTGCTCACCAACGACCATATTATTTACCGGCAGGCCTAGAATTGACACATTTAACTCAAGTTTGAATTGTCACACTGTGCAGCTGATCCTGCCAACCGACGAGCTTCAAACAAAATATGCGTTACAAAAAAGTTTACGTAGGCGATCTGAGCGAAAATGCTATTACACTTTTCTAGGACAGCTTAGATTTTTTCCAGGATATCTGGTCATTTTAATACATTTCCAGGTCTCTAAATTTTCCAGGTTTTTAAGGACGTGTAGGAACCCTGCTCTTAGGAATTGGCTCTCAACATTTTTGGGGCTTTAAATAAAGGTGGGGTATGGGATTCACATAAAATCAATCGGTGCCTAATTTTGGTACCTGGGATATAAATAAATAATTACGATACACGATATTATCAAGATAATTATAAAAGAATGGCACTAAAAAATACTGGAATCCCATTACCTTACATTTAGTTAAGAAACACATATTTAATGCATCACAGATACACCGCATCTCCCTGTTCTGTATTTTGGAATCTATACTATTTCCACACATCCAGTTATTTTTTTGTGGGGGATACAACGGGCCACTCGAGCCTTCAGCCAGGGTGACAGGCTTAGTATTTTGGAATGAGTGGAAAGACGCAGGCTCCTCCTTGTCCCCCTTGTTCAAAATAAATCAGGAAATCAATATAAGAATGTATGTTGGAGAGCTAGACAGCTTTTTCAAGTCAACCCATGTGAGGAAATTCACCACAAAACATTTATCTGAATAGTTTTTATTGCAACACGCAATAATATCTTTCTAGTGGTGGCCGTATTTTGATTTTGATTTTTGATTTCTGACCCTTTGAGGTTGCTGTAGCTGGTCTGTGTGGAGTGTTGAAGCACAAAGTTGGCAGATTGAGTTAGCTATAGGAAGTCAAAAACTATTAGTTTGTTTCCACAGAGCATAGGAAATATGTGCCTTTAAGCCATGTAGTTTAATTTTGCCCAGAGCTATTAAACAGCCTGTATATGACTGTCCCTCATTGGACCTGGGGGAGATGAAGAATGGGTCTTTTTTAAAGCAAACATTTTGACATGTTTTAGCAAGAAAAGCTATTATGAATGTCTTCATTCCATTTAGGTGTGTCAGTTTGAGGACCCGGTATTATGCAGCTGGCTCACAGGCATGTTGGACACTTGAATGGAGCAGAGCCTCCATTAAATGTATTCAGTACACCAGTTTCTTGTGCTATTAGCAGTTGAAATGTGAAAAGAGCCACTAAAGCATAAATTGACCCCCTTAACTCTGTGTCTACCCCAACATTGACAGTGTACCCAGATTGTGTACCTCAGTCATGTCCTTTTGGGTCAGCACTTTTCCCTCGTCTTAAAAGAATGCAAGGCTGAGGTTGGACGCAGGTGTGTGTGTCCGTCTGTGCGTAAGCAGACAAAGAGGGAGAAGCTCTCGTCAGCCATGATTCCCTAACCTTGTAGTTACTACTGAGGTTGGTTTTATGTAACCACACACACACACACATGAATCTTCAAACATGTTTTTTTGCACATGGAGGTATAAAGAGTACTCTGCTGAGCACTCCTAGCAATGCACTCCAATAATACTGTTAGACTCTTGATGATAGTTTAAAAAGTAAATAATCAATGCAGCAGAACTGGAGATAATGTCTTTTTTTATCCTGTGCGTTCCCTTTCCTTGTCAAAACCTGGTGCCTGCATCCCACACAATGCAACTCATCCACCAACAGCAGATTCTAGGTATTGTGCTGCAGGCTAACATAGCCTCAAGCAGGGATGAGGAGTGGTTGAGAGGTCTGGTAGCATCTCTTTGTTCTAGTTGTATGGCCCAAGACCTGTAAAGACTTTGATGTGCTTGAGAGGGACCATCAGAAATAACGAAATGATGGCTTGTGTTCTCTTTATCAGGTCTCCCTTTACTGCTGTATTCACTTCATGAAATGATTTAAGAGTGCATGTTTATACCAGAGAGAGGGAAAATCAAACATTAGCTCTAATCTTATATTAATGTATAAAAAGATTGATGATTGATAAACAGGGATGTTAATTATACATTCACAATTCGATACAATTCACTTCTCAATAAGAATTTAGTAATTTAAGTAATAATGTCTGTATTTATTGAGATTGGTACTGCTAGCAAGAGGTGTAATGCTCTTTTGTTGTTAAGGTTTGTATTTTGTGTGCCCCGTTTGCAGCATTAATGTCTTTTGGCAGTCACGTTCCTGTTTAAGTGATAAACTTTTTTCAGAGCTGGTAACAGGCGTTTATGCTCGTGCTGCAATTTTGTGGTCTGTGCTACAAAACCTTCAACCTCTGTAGCACCAGAACATTTTAACATACAGCCCTGCACATAAGGAGGGAGCCACAGTGCTTGAAAGTATTTAGCATCTAGCACACAAGAGGGGAGCTCTAGCTGTCCAAAAAGAGGTGATATGGAAAGAAGAAAAGGACAGCAAATCTTGGTTTGGTTTACCTCCCACAGAGTTGTCCCAAACTTTGCATTCTGGATCAGCACAATACTTTATAGCAGCAGTCACATCAGGAGTCCTTTTACTAATCTTTAAACTGTACCGTATTTAACATTGTGGCATTTTCTACTAGGTTAAAACTAGAACTGTATGGTTGCCCTCTGGGCGGCTGTGGCTCAGAGGCAGAGCGGGTCGTTCCTTGAGCAAGATACTGAACCCCATCGGTGTGCATCGGTATGTGAATGAATGAGTTAGGTTCTGTTCGATGGGACTTTGCCATCACTGGGGGATGAATGGCTGCTGTGATGAAGGGTGAATGTGGCCACGTTTTTGTTGCTAAAAGTGCTTGGAGTGGTTCGCGAAGACTAGAATGAGCGCCTATCAAGTACAGCGTCCATTTACTATTTAAAGCCAGGACAGAGGTGGCTTTCGAGTGTTTTGATTTCCTGCTGAGCAGAGATGGTTCCATTATAATCACCTATCTCTCTGTTCTTTGCTTTATTCATTTTTATGTAGGACTACTTGGCACAAGTTTGCCCTGTGAAGCTGTATTATTGAGGAAATAAAGTACATATAATTTCAATTAATACATTTTTAATTTCATTAATATAATACATTTGAGGGGCACCCTATGTAGCAAGGCTGAGTCCTTGCTTCAGTGGCCCAGGATTCAAATGCTACTAGGTTTTGTTATTTTGTTGAACTGATCCTTTAAACTCACCATGTATGTTTTTTGTCCTTTTCCAGGCACAGATATTTCAGTTGGCGAGGAGGTTGCAATTAAGCTGGAATGTGTGAAGACCAAACACCCCCAGCTCCACATCGAGAGCAAGATCTACAAGATGATGCAAGGAGGAGGTGATGTATCTTCACATGCTGGAATTTTCATCTTTCAGCCCTAGTTTTCTCACTTTCAATCTCCTCATCATTTCCTCTCTCTATCCATAAAAAGAATCACTCCTCTTGTCCAATGATCTTTTTTTTCCTTCTGGTTTTTGGTAATCTTATTCCTCGTCGATTCTCTCCCTTCCACCCACCGCTTGTCTTCCTCCTCCATGTAAATGTGATGCATACATAGCTTCAGCAGCTAGTGATCCACATGAGTCACCAAACAAAGCTGAGGGAGAGAGACTGACTACAACATTGAAGCAGCTCACAACCTTAAATTTACTCTGGTACACACAACTGGAAATGATGTTAGCATTAAAGCATGGGGTCATCCATCCTCAGGTCATTTGAGGGTTAATAGTGAATAGCTAAAGTTTAAAGAAAGTTTACCATGGATCTTTTTTCCCCAGTTGTAATGCTACTGCAGTAGTTTCAGTTCTTGCTTGTTTGAGAGGCTTTTTGCCTTCAACCTGGTCACCAGAAGGTGTTCTTACTATTGTAACTGTATTCTTTTATGTTTTTGCAGTTGGAATTCCAACAATAAAGTGGTGTGGAGCAGAAGGTGACTACAATGTGATGGTGATGGAGCTGCTGGGGCCCAGCCTGGAGGATCTCTTCAACTTTTGTTCCCGCAAGTTCAGCCTCAAGACAGTGCTGCTGCTCGCCGATCAGATGGTGAGACTGCCTACTGACTTCACACACACATTCCACATCCATCAAACTGTTTACCATTAACCCAGAGCAGCTGCAGATGAGAGCAGAAAGGGCTTCAGTGTTTCTATGGGCACATTACTGAGACATATGTACACTTGTTAGTATTGTTATCATCATTTTTCTTTTTCTGGTGCATCTATTTTGCAAAGAAGATTGTGCCCTTTTAACTTCATGTCAGACCACTATTAATGATTCAGAGATTGAAGCCTTTTCCATGGTTGAGATATCCTCACAGAAAGTGATGTAGCCCACTTAGAGACTTTTGCAGTGACAAGACATAGACAAACCTTAAAGTTCACCCCAACTCTTACCTGTTGGTGTGAGTTGGTGTGAGTTGCAGTGTTTTGTGGCTATTGGCCATAGAGATGTAGGAAAATTAACAAACATTTTGTAATATTGGGGTACTGTGGTAGCTTACCTGGTAGAGCTGGCTCCCCATGTACCAAGACTGGGTCCTTCAAACCAGGTGAGTGTGTGGAAAGTGTCCTCATGTTAACATGGTGTTGTGACCTAACTTGTCTTATTTTGTTCTTCTCCACTGCAGATCAGTCGCATTGAGTACATTCACTCCAAGAACTTCATCCACAGAGATGTGAAACCTGATAACTTCCTGATGGGACTGGGCAAAAAGGGCAACCTGGTCTACATTATTGATTTTGGACTGGCTAAAAAATACCGTGACGCTCGCACACACCAGCACATCCCCTACCGCGAAAACAAGAACCTGACTGGCACTGCACGCTACGCCTCAATCAACACACATCTGGGCATTGGTAAAAAATAAGTGAAAAAAAGCACCGAATAAGCCTGTGTGACATGAACACATTATTGCACATCTTAGACAGTACATTTGAAGTTTATTCTCTTCATCCTTCTCCCTGCCTGTTGTCTGCCTCCATAGAGCAGTCAAGGCGCGATGACCTGGAGTCCTTGGGCTACGTTCTCATGTATTTTAATCTGGGCTCGCTGCCTTGGCAAGGTCTCAAGGCTGCTACCAAGAGGCAGAAGTATGAACGTATCAGTGAGAAGAAAATGTCCACCCCCATTGAGGTGCTCTGCAAGGGATACCCCTGTGAGTCTCATCTTTTTTTCTTTTTTCATTTATAATGATTCTAAAATGATTTTATAATTGCATATTGAGCAGTATTAGTCAATCACTCCCAGAAATGTTTTCTCCTTGTCACAGCTGAGTTTGCCACCTACCTGAATTTTTGTCGCTCCCTGCGCTTCGATGACAAGCCGGACTACTCATACCTACGGCAGCTCTTCAGGAACCTCTTTCACAGACAGGGCTTCTCTTACGACTATGTTTTTGACTGGAACATGCTCAAGTTTGTGAGTACTAATCATAATGTCTGAACTGTGTGGAGCTGAAACACCAGTTACACTATATATATTTAATGGTGTTTGTAGATACCTGCCTTCACTCATGGTGAGGAAATTGTGTTTTATTTATTTATTCAAATAAATCTGCATTTCGATAATATTTCGATTAATTGTGCGGCCCTAGACTGAAATGCTGTTTTCAGCTTCTCAAATATTGAGATTTCCTGCTTTTCTATATTTTATATTTAAAATAATACACTTCAAATATCTTGTTTTGGAATGACAAAACAAGATAATGGGATGGACAATTATTTGCATTTTATAGATCAAACAGTGAATTGGTTCATCTATTGTAATCGATAATGAAAATAATGGTTATTTGCAGTTTGCCACCAGCGAGTACCCATTTGTTTTTGTTGATTGTTTGTTATTGTTGTACACAGGGAGCCAACCGTGCGGCAGAGGAAGCAGAGAGAGAACGCCGAGACCGGGAGGACAGGCTGAGGCACGGCAGGAACCCAGGGGCCAGAGGAATACCTGCCGCATCAGGACGACCACGGGGAACCCAGGAAGGAGCCCCACCCACCCCACTAACACCCACCTCACACACAGGTCAGTTGACTCCAGCCTTCCTCTGCCACTCTGGACTCTACAGCTGTCTGTCTGGCATGATCCTTATACAAGTACTGTAATGCTATCAGTTTAATGGGAAGGGCTTCATGACTTTAAGAACAGACTTAGCAACTTGCAGTCAGTTTTTTCAGGGGCCAAGAGTGGAATCCTCAGATTCCAGTGGAAATGCTGTAGACAGTCTTATCTACGCGTATACAACCTGTTAACGATCACATTTGCATTTGTTGTTGTGGTTGAGAAATACATGCACAGCAATGTTAATTGTACGTACAAACACAGGCTAACAGGTGAGGTGGTAAGTGTTTCTTATGGGCTGTGGCCAAATTAATGTTGCAGTTGGAGGAAAACTGTAGTAAAATGTAGTCTATTTGCCAGAGACTGTTACTCGGCTCTGCTGTGGTGAGAACAGCCAAACCACCAAATACTGCCAATGCGGTGTGTCCCATTAATGCTGACCACTGTTTGTGAGAAAGTGCTGCCCTGTATTGTCAAAAACTCAATGTTAATGCAGTTTCACTTATTTAGTCTCTCTGAAAAAAAATTTTCAATCAAAAGAAACAATAATTGTGTCATTAAACAAACTCTAGTACTTCAAAATTATACAAATATGTGGAAGCATTTATGAATTCTATCATGTCTATTCCCTCAGAAGTAGACAATGCTGATGGTGTTCTTTGTTTCTGGTCTGTGATCTCCAGCGAACACATCCCCTCGACAAGTGTCCGGTATGGAGCGTGAACGAAAGGTCAGCATGCGACTGCACCGCGGTGCTCCTGTCAACGTATCTTCCTCAGATCTAACAGGACGGCAGGACACCTCCCGCATGTCCACCTCACAGGTACAAGACACCCCTGAGGCACAACTGCCTTCTTCTTATGTCTCCTAACCCCTAGGAGGGCAGAAAGAAGAAAGTCTTAACATAGGTAATTCCACCTCGACCCAGGGTAGGCCTAAATTAGAAGCCCTGTTCTGAATCTTTATAGTAACCAATAGCAGGTAGAATTACATTTTAAAGTTCATTAAACTTTGTCTTCATGGAAGTCCTTACTTAGCTACTTCATAGTGTAGTGCTTAACGCAGGAAGAAAGTCTCATCTGTTACAGCCCACCAGCCTCAAGTTTCTTGTTAGAGAGAAGTCAAGTGCTGCTATTCAGCCAGTTTCCTCCAGTTGTGCTGTTGGTGCAGGATGTGGGTTCTAACTGGGTTCTGACATATTGGGCCTTCTCTCTCCCTTCCCCCAACCTCAGAATAGCATTCCCTACGAGCATCACGCCAAGTAGACGCTCGCCACGTCCTTGTGTGACGGCGGCAACACTGGGTGAGTCCTGTCCCTAAAGCACCAGGGATGCATAGGTCTAAACTCCAGTTCTCCACTGGCCTGCCTCTCAGTCTTGTGTTTGGTCCTGGTTCTGACATAGTTTTCTTCTAGCCCAATGTCTGCCATTTTATCTGACAAAGTCTCTAAATGTACAAGAGGCGCAAGAAGAAAACACATGATAGGCATTAGATTAAATCAGCAGCTCTAACAGGAATACCTGGAATCAGGTCTGAACACACAGCAGATGCTCAGTCATTCACCAGTGAGCTGGACATCCAAGTTTGTCAATGAGACCAGTAATTGTTGTCATATGACACAATACCATCACAGCCACCTACCTGGCTGTTGATGACATCCTAGCCGCATCAGATACTGACTGAGAGCTGTCCTCTGAGAACTAGAGTGGATAATGCATCATCCAGACTGTGACTCCCTCATTGCTTACTAAGGGTTGACGTAATGCCCCTTTAATCAGCTCTGTGCCTGTGGCTTGTTGCTTGCACTGTTGGTTTGATGCCTGAGGCCCCATCGTTCAGATGGCAGGCCTACAGCTGTAGCAACCTAAAGGGTTTCACCTACCTACAACCCCCCACCCCACCCCCAGACTTGCTTGGTGCGGTCTAGTATTATTTCACCTACAGATTTCTGCCTCCTTGTTTTTTTCACACTTGCATGTCATGAAGCTACTTGTTTGGAAGTCAGCATTCAGCTTTCCCATGGCTGTGGCTGAAAGCATGTCTTCAGTTGTTTAGAAAGTGCTTTTGAGGGGAAAAATGACTCAAATCAGTCCATGCTCCTTGCGTTCACAGTACAAAATTCTATATATGTCTCCTGGTTGTTGCATGTACTGTAGGTTTGTTGTCAGAATAAAAATCTGGCAGTAAACGTACACACGACCACCAGGATAAAGAGAACCAGTTGATTTGTCCAGCTCAGACTGCTGAAGCCTCATGTAGGCCTTTACCACTACAGGAACTCAACAACCCCTTAACTTAAAGCCTTTGTCAGGTTCTGCTTTAGTAGGGAGGATATCTAGTCAACAACTATACATTATCTGTATTCCAAGTGGGCGGAATACGTTGTTAATTAGATTGTTAATTAAGGCTGAAATTGATATGAGTCAGTCTTCTGATTCAAGACTCGAGCAGCAGCTTTTTTATTTACATTTTTTTAACTAATGGAGCAGAGAGAGTCTTTAAGGGCAGCAACCTTTCCCGAGAGACCTCCTGGCTCCAGAGAACTGGTCTTGTGCCAGTCTCCTGTGCTGTCTCTGATCCATTCTGTCAACCTCTTACCCTGGGTGGGGCTCTTCTGTTCATTTAACAATATTGACATCAATTGTCCCTGAAAATCTATATTAGTGTCACTTTTTTGGTCCCACAACTGCGCTGCACTCTGCACACTCTTGTCGCCTTTTCAGTGACGTATATCTGAAACGTTCTGGTTGTAAACACTGGAAAACGAGGCAAAACGTAGAACCTAGACCCTATAGGTTCAGGTTAGGGATGCTCGATATTGGCTTTTCTGCCGATATCCGATATTCCGATATTGCCCAACTCTCAATTTCCGATACCG